TCCAGCGCTGGGATTACAGGCGTGCACCATCACGCCTGGTCTCTGGACAGCTCAGTGCACTGGAGACTGGGGCTGGCACAGCATGTGGTGCCAGGTTTAAATCTTCTTTACTTTTTTTAGTATTACATTAGAGAGAATATAATGTTTACACATATGCCTGATTTATTTCACTTACGAGTATGGTCTCTAAATGTATCCATTTACCTATAAAAGGCTCCAGTTTATTTTTATTTATAGTTGAATAGTACTCTAGTGTATAAAAATACTACACCCCCCTTTTTAATTTTGTACCAGAGATTGAACTCAGGACCTTATACTTGCTAGGTGGGAGGTTGTGTCAAATACCACATCCTTTTAAAAATCCGTATTTTGGTTGGTGGGCATTTGGGTTGTTTCCAAGATTTAGCGATTACAAATTGTGCAGCTATAAACATGGGTGCACATATATTGCAGTGGTATGACGTTTTTAAATTTTCTGGAAAAATAACCAGAATTGGAATAGTTGGGTCAAATGGGACCTATAATCCCTATGTCTTTGAAATTTTTACCTAATTTCTCTTCCAGTAGATTTAATATTTCTGCCTTAATATTTAGATCTTTGGTCTATTTTGATTATAGTTTAGTGCATTCTGATAGACATGAGTCTATTACTACTACTACTACTACTACTATGATTATTGGTTTGGGTAATCAAACTTGGGACCTTGTGCTCACCAGGCAAGCACTTATTCCACTGAGCTATCTCCCCGGGCCCAACATGGGCCTAGCTTTAGTCTTTGGCATGTGGGAAGCCAGTTTTTCAGCACCATTTATTAAAGAACTTACCTTTCTTTCCCCTTTGTCACAGATACCATGGCTGAATGTGTTTGTAGTTGTGTCTGTATCTTCTGTTTAATTGATCCTCAGGTCTTTTTTTTTTTTTTTTTTTTTGCCAGTGCAATGCCAATTTTATCACAATAACTTTGTAGTATAATTTCAAGTCAGGGATTGTGATAGCTCCTGCCTTGCCTTTGTTGTCCAGGATTGCTTTTGCTATTCTAATTCTTTTCTGGATCCAGATGAATTTTAGGACTATTTTCTCTAGATCTATGAGGTGTATGAATGGTATTTTAATCAGGATTGCATTGAATCTGTATAACAATTTTTAGAGTATGGCCATTTTTACAATGTTGGTTTTTCCTATCCATGAGAAAGGAATACCTTACATTTTCTGAAATCCTCTTTGATCTCCTTTTTCAGAGTATTTGACAAAGCTCGACATCCATTCATACAAATTTCACTGTATAGATCTTTTACTTCTTTATCAGATTGATTCCTAAGTATTTAATTTTTTAGATGTTACTGTGAAAAGAGTGTTTTCACTAATTTCTCTCTAATTTGTTTGCTCCTTGTGTACAGAAATGCCATGGTTTTTCTGAGTGTTGACTTTGTATCCAGCTGTACTAGTGAATTTGGTTATTAAGTCTCCAAGTCTTTTGATGTCTTCTGTGTAGAGTATCATGTCATCTTCATATAATCATGCTTTCATTTCTTCCTTTCTCATCCTTATTCTTTTTATTTCTCTTTGTCTAACTGTGTTGGCTAATGTTTCCAGGACTCCATTGCCAAGGGGTGGTGACAGTGAGCTTCCTTGTCTTTTTCCTGGTTTTAGACGGAAAGCTTTCAGTTTTTCTCCATTTAGTATGATGTTGGCTGTTGGCTTGTCATATGGCTTTAACCATATCGAGATACATGCTATTTGTTCCAATTTTCTGCAGGGCTTTTTTTTATTATTACAAATGGGTGTTGAACTTTGTCAAATGATTTTGTCTGATTCTGTTTAGATGATCATGTTGATTTTGCCTTTGGCTCTGTGGATGTGGGAACCCGGTTGCTCATCAAACTGTGAGGATTGCTTGGAGTTATGACACCAGCACTGAGATCATGACTGACCCAACCCTGCTCTCTTGGCTGACCTATCAAGGTTGGCCAGTCTGTACCCTGTCCCATGAGTTCCTCTAGGTGCTCCAGCTGGATTCTACCCTATTGCCCCTTTCTTTACAACTCTGCCTAATGAACCTGCCTATGAGCCAGCTTCTGTGGTGCATCTGTGCCATCCCAACACTCTGGGAGGCTGAGGCACGAGAATCATAAGTTTGATCCTAGCCTGGGAAACTTAGTGAAATCTTTTCTTAAAATTAAGATGTAAAAGTACTGGAGATGCATTCCTGGGGACTTGAAGTACCCACTAAACTTGAAGTACCGCACTAAACTAGTTTATGTCTGTCACTGATACATCTTGAAAAAGATTAATTGACAACTTCTGATATTGCCAGTCATGAAGAAGACCCAATACTATTATGAACTACTGAACTATTTTGGAATATTTTGCTGAGTTCACACACCTATAATACAGTCCTAGCCCAGGTCCGGTGAGTGTATGGGAGAGCTTCCGGCTACCCTGCGCCGGCGGGACCCATTACTGGTCCCAGCCCAGGTGCAGCGTGGGTGAGACCCTCTTCCACCCCCTTGGGATGCCCCCCACCACTCTTCAGCACCTCCCCCACCCTGCCCGCCAAGTAGGAATCTCTGCTGCATTCCAGGAACCCCCAGACCCAGTCCTAGCCCAGGCCCGGTGAGTGTGTGGGAAAGCTGCCTCTCCCCCCTACTCCACCTTGCCCCCTCCAGGCTCAGCTCAGTCCTGGCATACAGGCCTGGGGTGTAACCCTGCAGCTGCAATCCCTGCAGAGAGTGTAGAGGATAGAACCACCCAGCTAGTCCAGGAGCAGAAAATCTTGCCACAGGGGCACAACATGTTCACCCTCAAAGGCAGCAGCAGGAAGGAGCTGAGCACAGCAGCCAGACCCAAGCCAGGCACAGCTGGATAAATCCAAACTTTGTAGATCTGCACCTGAACTTCAGTACGTGTGAAGGTTATAACTACAGCAAAGATCTACAACAAAGGTCAGAAGACAGTGCTACGCAAAATGACGAGAAGGAACAAAATGCAACCTCAGAACCCAAGCCCACCCATAACAAGTGCAGAGGATACACACCTATAATATTTAAATGACGGAACTAAACAAAAAAAGAGGATACGGATGAATGACCACTTTGTATCTGTGTATTCAAAATGGTTAGGATAGAATACAGCTACATTCTCTTAATTCAGTGAATAGAGGGATTTGTTCTAATAGTGTTTGTAAATGGGATATCATATCTGCATCTTGTATAACAAATAACCACTAGGAAGACAGTATGCAATGTGTTAAATATTAAAACTGTCCTACCAATTTGATTTGAAACCGTCTCATTGCTATTTGTTTCTCAATAAAATTATGGAAAAAAAAGAAAGAAAAAGATTAACATTTTCAGCGACAAGAGTCCGTACATCTGTTCCCTGGGATGATCTGAGGTGTCTGCTCTTTGGGAGGCCTTGTCAAGTCCTGCCTGGTGACAAGTCCAACATCCAAATTTCCATCTCACACAGACTCACCTCCTCTTCCTCCTCCTCCTCTTCCTCCTCCTCCTCCCCCCCCCCACCACATGTGTGAGCAAACAGCTGGCACCCACCATCCAGCAAAGGTGACTCATGATGTCGGCCATCAGAGCAGAGGGAGGCCCCAAGAGAATCATCACTGGTGAACACACAGTGTCTTTGGAGAATGACTAAAGTACTTTACAGGGGCTGGAGAGATGGCTCAGTGGTCTAAAGCACCTACTTGAAACAAGCTTGGCAAAGCACAGGGACCGCGGTTCGATCCCCAGCACCACA